GCAGAGTGCACCGCGTGTCGTTAACGCCTATGAACGATTGATACGTTCTGAACAGCAACCAAAATTCACTGCTACCTTGACTCCTACGGAACACACCCGATCTCTCTTTGCTATCTACGCTTATGATGCATTATGCAAGGACTCTGATTGAGCTACTCGCTCGAAGGGACCTCGCTCTCGAGGGGGGAGTAGTGTAATGACCTGTCAAAACACAGACTTAGAACACTGCTGATTTCTGAAGTTCTGCTGATGGAATGGATGCCTTGATGAGATTCCCGCATTCTGCTGTGTTTTTTAAGTCTGTCTGCGTGTGTGTGCTTGTGACTTGCGTGCCTGTCTGAGTGCTTGTCGGTACGAGTGTGTGTGACCCGCGAGGGTACTTGCTTGTTTGGTAGGCCCGTAGGGCCGGTACTTACCTGTGGCCATGGCATTGAGGGTTGTAGCAGGGAAAAACACTCAAGTGGCGAAGCTAGCGGCCCTGAGGCCCTTGGGGTAGCGGCAAAACACTCAAGTAGGCCGGTAGGCCGATACTGCACCCCACTGCAGTTGGCGTGAGGGGTACTGGAGGCCGAGCAGAAAAAGACAAAGTTGGCATTTTTAGAGTCCAGTAGTGGTAGGGTAGGTCTAGGCCGGTACCAGTCCAACCAGTCTGAGTCTAGAGCCTGTACGGGTAATATCAGGGTCTGCAATGATTTTTCCCTCCGAAACGGAGGAAGTACCGGTTGCTTGGAGAGGCCGAGCGGCCTGGAAGTCACCGCCCAGGAGGCAAGTTGGCCGCTATATCAAGAGGCAGGGCGGAGAGCCCAGCCTCATTCTTCAGTGTGCGAGTTGGGCATCACGCTGCTGGAGCGCTGGTTGGAGTAGCGCTGGGCACTACAGCGCTGCTGGGAGGAAGAAGCCGGGAGCTTCCGCCTTGGCTATGGTGGAGCTCTACCGGTAGGAGGAGGAAGGAGAAGGGGACCATGGAGGAGAGTGGCGGGGTACTTACCGGCTATGGTAGACACCATCTTCATCTCCTTGCTAGGCGCTGCATCAGGAAGGCCCCAGTGGGGGTAGTACCGCATCAAGGAAGCTCGGACAGAGTCAGGCATGGCGGTTGAGTGGGCAGCGGCATAGCTGCCGGGTGATGACCTTGAAGTAGGGCAGCGGTATAGCTGCTTTGAGTTGTCTGTTGTACAGGAGGCTGAAGCCTCCGTAGTCCGCCATAGCCTCGGCCTGTATGTGGAGGAAGAAGGGCTGCCATGGTTATGGTGGACCTCATCTTGTGCCTGCAGTAGAAGTGGGATTCAGACATTAATGCTGGTTCAGCTGTTCAACATTATCATTGTTTATTTATTGTTTGAATAAGAGAGGAGGAGATAAAGAGGAGGAGGTTGTTGAGCGAAGAAGAAGAGCTTTGTCTBTGGTCTATGCTGGAGTACATCATCTCTTTCTTCTTTCTTGATTCTTCTTCTTCTTCTTTCCCTCTCTCTCCTCTCAAATTCTTTCATTTCTTTTGCAATTGGACGGCATTGGGCTCAAGTTCATTCATTTCTTTTCGCAATTGGACAACAGTGTACTTTCTGATGATTGTGGACTTCGAAATTGGCCAGGATCGTAACTCACCAGTACACAGCCCCTGCCTCGCAGAAAATAACTCGCGTCCCCAACACCGCACCTTTCGGGCCGGGCCGTCGCTGATAACTTTCACAATGGTTTCCGTTGCGTTTCCGAGCTCCGAATGTCACGGTGAGGGGCCTACAGCCAAGGTACCTTGGCCGCGTCCTGGTTGCGAAACAATGGGCGTCCCGAATGACTCCTCAACAGATAGAGATGTGTATAGGTTGGCTAATCAGTGCCAGCTGGCTTGTCAGTGCTGTCGCACTGTTCCTTTTTTCCTTTTTCTTTTTCCGTTTTTGTTTTTGTTTTTGCAACCATTGTCTTTACTAGTCAGTCGGCTTCAGATTGCTTGTCACCACTTTTATCTCGTTTGGCTCGTCCGTGTCAGTATCCGTTCGAATTATGAGCTTCGTGTCAGTTTCGGTTCAAATTATGCGCCTCGCTCCGCTACACAACAATCTACATGCATTAAGACTACTTTCTAGACCCGATATATTCTGCATGTTGAGCTCATCCAAATGCACCTGGTCCACAAGGTGTCCAAATGCATGTAGAGTGTTGTTTAGTTGAGCAAGCCCCTATCTTGTGATGAGATGCTGGACCCGGTTTCAAGCAGGTGTGGCTCCCCACCAATAGATTGGAGCCTTGAAAGAAAAAAAAAGGAAAAAAAAAAAAGGTGTCAGTCGGTATCAGTTTGTGTCAGTGTCTGTGTCAGCGCAAGTCACAGGGCGTCGCCGCACCCCTCACCAAATTGGAAAGAGGCAAAATCTATGGCAGGGGTATCTGTATCTTTCTAACTTTCGAGTGGAAGATACATTCTCCAGTTTGCACATTCTGAATGCAGTGCGGCCAGGCCCACAGAATGCACAGAGACCCAAGCTTTCTTGTGTGTCGACTTGCCACAACTGTTGTTTTTTTTTTTTGGGGGGGGGGGAGAGGGAGGGGGGAAAAAAGCCATACTCTTCAATTTGTCACAACTGTTTACTGCCCCCCGAGACATTCTTAGCACCGATACCGCACTTCGCTCCATTTCAGTTATAAACCATCTTCGCATCTTCCTTTTTTGTTGTTTGTTGCAGCCATCTTCCTGTCACCCCCAATATGCTGCAATTATTTGATGGAGGGAAGTATGTTTGTTTGGGAAAAAACAAAAAAAAAAAGTACCTGTGTTCCCTTGAAAGCCAAGCACCACGTCCGCCACCCCTCTCTTCCCCCACCATTCCAAAAAAAAAAAAACAAGGAAAGAAAAGTAACCAAGAGAACAAAAGAAACAAATAATTAAGAAAACCGAAAAAAATGCGGACATATACTGCAGGATATGACATGCCCTAACAGTCCTACCAAAGACGCGTGTTCGTTTGAAAAAAAAAAGAAAAAAAGACATGACCGTATATGTCCAAAGAGTCCTGATGCTTACAACGAGTTGATGCATCATCATAATGACGTTGATGACGGCAATGATCTTATGACGATGATCATCGTATGATCATCATCGTTGCCGTCGTCATCATCACGATCATCATCGTCATCATCATACGGTGACAACTGCCATCATCATTCCCATCACCATCACATGATCATCATCGTGATCATATGACGATGATCACGATAATCATCATATGATGGTGATGGGGATGATGATGGCAATGATCACCATACGACGATGACGATGATGATGATGATAATTATGAGCATCAAGATTCAAGAGCAAAGCATAGCATGGCAGTCAAATTCAAATGCTATTTATGTGATATCTATCCAATGAGCTCATTCGTCAGAAGCACCCGGCGTCGACAGAAAGCCTATCGACGTCTCCAGATCTGTCCAGATCTATGGGTAAATCTACTGTATCCGCCCACCATCTATATGCTTTCCGCGTATGAGGGGAGGGGGGGGGGGCAGAGAGGGGGAGCCTGAGCTTTGTTGGTGTAGACAAAACAGAAAGATCAGACAAACGAGCTATTCAGCAGGATGCTACATCCGAACTCAGATGGCATGCTATTCTTCTGTGCTCTCCTAAAGAAAAAACCATACAGCGATCACTACACGCATCAGAGATCGAGAGAAACCCTAAAAATTCCCTACATACAGAGCCCCTTATCGCATTTGATAGGGTTTAAAGGGGAGGGAAAGAGGGGAAAGGAGGAGAACATTGGGGAAAAGGGGGGGCAAAACTGGGTACAAAAAGGGGACAAAAAGG